AATATTACGTAAAAAAAGAAATAAATTATCGTTTTTTCTTATTTAAAGCTAATATTTTTTTGCAGTTATAGTTATTTTTAGAATGCGGTAGAGAATAGAAAATTCAAAAGATTATACATGTGTTGGTTGTTATAATTTATTATTCTCCCAGTGGCACAGCGGTATGTCTGCGAACTTACAACGCTAGAAATGGGGTTTCGAGAGCCGTGGTAACAGAGCAGTGATAACCCGACATGTTTTATGCTTAACTTCAAATAAAACATTATATTTGGTGTTACAAACTATTAGCAACTTTACAAGATATACGGTTATGAACATTGAACTTTAGGTATAACAGTATTATTTAACTGCATATTCTGTATTTGTACACTAATTATATAATTTTATTTAGTTAATATTTAACTGTGTAGAGTATTTGAAGTTTTATCTTTTCTTTTTGTATGCGAAATAAATGATTTATTATTTCGATTTTAAGAAGAGGTCATGTATGCTATGGCGATGTTTTTCAAAAGCAATTAAATTTTATAAATGTGTATATATATATATATATTTATTTATTTATATGTGTATGTATATTTTTTTACCTTAGCTACCTTGAGTAAATGTGCTCGAGTTGATGCTGATCCGAAAGTTCTGCCATCTGGCGACAACAATAATCGCCATAACACACCAACCAACTTGTTTTCTTCAAGTTTACATTTCTGGCCACAAGGGAGATTGCAGTCAGCTTTCACATCACTTCCACATTCACGCTTTCCTTCTGTTCCTAATTTTGTAACTCTGCCCTTTCCTTATATATCATCAAATGCAGAATTAATTCCCCAGTTTACTTCCACATCATTTCAAACTTACTCTAGTGCTCTCTCATGTCCGTCTTTTAATGTTCCTGAATGAACGTGTAATTTAGGTTTCGAACTATTTTTTGCTTTCTAGTTGTATTCGTTAATTTCATTTTCGCCTGTGCTAAGATGAATATTTTCAGGTATTACATATGACAATTTCTAATGGTATGAAACCGAGTTAACTAATACTTTAAATTTAGTACTTTGGATTTAGCAGTTAAGTAAAAGCCGATATATGGTCTGTTTATGATATTTGCCAACAAGATTGATACACACAGTTTTCTTTTTTTAAAACACAAATACGTTTTAATATACACACAATAATACAATTTACAATCATTGTTTGTAATGGTCGTTACAAATAATGATTTGTAAAAAAAAGTTTCTCAAACTTACAAGCAATATAAAGTCTTCTTTCTAGTCTGGAGCTTTTCCGATAACTTATCGAGGGTTCACGATGAGCGAGTTAGTTACGAGTTGATGTAGGTACAATTCGCTTAACGGGGAGCTAGCTAGCTTTGTCCTTCATTTTTCATCAGCTACACATGCCGAGTTTTCTACCGATGACGTTAGGTAATGTTTCCTTAAAATTACTAATGTCCGATGAGAATCTACTGAAGTTAAATGATCTGTAATGTTCGAGCTTTGTAAATGCTTCTGGTCAAATATCTGAAGTTTTCCGATTGATAAGCGTTATAACAATTACAGTTATAGCGTTCGAAGTTTATAGCACAATGACTATAGGAAACTAATAATAGATATTCTTTTTTTTTGGTCGCGTCGTGTTGGTTATATTTATAGGCGTGTGGAGAGTTTCTCGAAATTTCAGTTTT